AATTTTTATCATGTGCTTTGGTTTCTTATATTAAGGTGATTTTTATATCACAGTGAACTATTTTTAAATATTTGATTCTGAGTGGTTTAATACACACAGGTAATACTTTAAAATAGTTTTACCTTTAAATGCACTATACAGTCTTTGTGAAATAATTTATATATTTGTATATATTAACACCTGGCAGAAACTATTGAAATTATAATATTCCTTTACTTATTGTGAAACTATCTTTATGAGATAACCAATTGATATAATGCTAAATAAATTTACCTAAGAACTTTGATTATATTTTATGTATCCATATATTTTAAATGACTAGCACAGTGGTATTCATATAATATATTCTTGATATTTTTAAAGCACAATGAAATTAATTTGGAATGCAAATCCTATTACTGCATAAGGCAGTGTCAGTATTCATAAAAGTTATCCATAATAAAAGCAAACTCACCCGCCACGATATAAAAGAAGACAGTGTTTGGGTTAGGAATTGTATAAACTGCATGTTGCAGAATGGTTCAGCTACAGTTATGAGGGTTTTTTCTCTGTATTTTTGGAGGATGTCCCCTGTCTGTTTACAGTTGTGCATTTCCCAGCATGTTTGAGAAGCATGGCTTTATAGAGTTTATAGCTGCCTGCTGTGCAATCTACTTTCAGTGACTGTTGCTATCCTAAAGGAATTGGCAACTAGGTGTATCACAGTAGTGTTTTGTTTCATTTTCTGTGGTATCAGAAATAGTTTGCTTTTGAGAAGTAAAGGAAAACCTTTGTGCCTGAAGTGGCTTTTAACAACTCTTGATGTACCATTACTCCTATAAAGGACAACATGCGGTCTGAATAATTTCATAGTGCTAAAATGTCACATTTTTAAGGCAGCTATTTCATTGCTTTCCTGAATTACTGAGCTCAGCGATTCTCCCTAATCTTTTGGAAGGGAGTGCTGGCAGTCCTAAGATGTAAAATCTCTCTTGGACTACCTAGAATTTTATTCCTGCTTTTGTCTTTGTATCTCTTTTTTTCTCCTTTTTCTACAGAATTTCCTAATATTTCATCATGGGTATACGCATAATTTGTATGTGATACCCAGAGTTTAACTGGAGTTTACTTATGAACTTTATTATTGCTTAATCTTACTACTAACATATAATTATTGTTCTCAATATTTACATTTAGTGTCATTATTTTTAGTCATGCAGCAAAATTTATTTAGAATATTATTTTCCTTTATGTAGTCATCTTTCTATATATATGTGTATATATCTAGACTGATGACTCTTGAATAGGTACCTGGGGTTTTTGCTTTCATAGGATTTCAAGAATAATTGTACTTTAATTAGCACAACTAATAAGTGCAATAGACAAAATTAATATACCAAATATTATTCAAATCATAGACACTCTATTCAGTAACTGTTATTCTTACATATATCTGAATGTTTTAAATATATTTTACCTAGTGGACTTCTCAAATTGATATGTATAATTACATTTCATGGTAAAAAAATTAATTGCAATTTGAATTAGTCAAGAATCATGATTTTTCTGGGTGTACCTTAGCAAAATAACCTTTAAAAACATTTAAATCTCTTCAGTGAGTGAGAAACACATGAGAAAAAATAAAGATTCTGTGACAGGCACCATGCTGATATCAATAATGAGAAATAAGAGTAGAATTTAGTAAACCAAGTTACAGAGAAAAATGTATTATTTCCATTTCTAGGACCATTAACTGAAAGCGGGCCCTAATATAACCCTAGTGCTAAAGAAGAGAAGTTTGAATTTGTTGTCACTCAATAGTAATCACAGTTCATGTTTTTTTTTTTATTAATCATTGTTCATATACAGTTTTCTCCTTTTTACTCCCAATCCAGTTCCCCCCCTCCCACCCGCCCCCCTTCCCTCCCATTACCACCCTCCCCTTAGTCTATGACCATGTGTCCTTTAAGTTTGTTCCTGTGAACCCTTCCCACTGTCCCCTTAAATTCCCTCTTCTCTCCCCTCCGGTCACCATCAGCCTGTCACAGTTCATGTTTTTATTAAAAAGTTCCAAAAGTGACATTTTCTTTGGTCAGCAATTAGAGCTATCCCTAATATTACTATAGCAGAAAGACTATGACACAAAGAGTGTACCTTTCCCTCTAACTTTTATTTATTTAGCAATTTCTTCTAAAGAGGCTTATTAATTTTACATATTTTTAAATCTAACTCACATGCCTTAGAGGTTATTTAACTCTTTTGTCTACTTTGAAGAATACTAATGTTTCTAATTTTTTAAAATATTTTTTATTTTAATTGTTGTTGCAGTACAATTTTCTTTTACCCCCATCCCAACCCACCCACCCAGCCCTCCCCTCCTCCCTCCCATTCCCACACACCCCTAGTTTTTATCCATGTGCCCTTTATACTTCTTCCTGTAAACCCTTTCCCTTTTCCCCTGAAATTCCCTCTCCTCTCCCGTTTGAATACTGTCAGACTGTTCTCTATTTCAGTGTCTTTGGTTATATTTTGCTTATTTCTTTGTTTTGTTGTTTAGGTTCCTGTTAAAGGTGAGATCATATGGTATTTGTCTTTCACTGTCTGGCTTATTTCACTTAGCATAATGCTTTCCCGCTGCATCCATGCTGTTGCAAAGGGTAGGAGCTCCTTCTTTCTTTCTGCTGCATAGAATTCCATTGTGTAAATGTACCATAGGTTTTTTTTTAAGATTTTATTTATTATTTATTTTTAGAGAGGGAAGGGAGGGAGAGAGAGAAAGAGAGAGAAACATCAATGTGAAGTTGCTGGGGGTCATGGTCTGCAACCCAGGCATGTGCCCTGACTGGGAATAGAACCTGTGACACTTTGGTTCGCAGCCTGCGCTCAATCCACTGAGCTACGCCAGCCAGGGTACCATAGTTTTTTTATCCATTCATTTACTGATGGGCATCTAAGTTGCTTCCAACACTTGGCTATTGTAAATTGTGCTGCTATGAACATTGGGGCACATAGGTTCTTTTGGATTGGTGTTTCAGGGTTCTTAGGATATAATCCTAGCAGTGGAATTGCTGGATCAAAAGGCAGTTCCATTTTTAGTTTTTTGAGAAAATTCCATACTGTTTTCCATAGTGGTTGTACCAGTCTGCAGTCCCACCAAGAGTGCACTAGGGTCCTCTTCTCCACAACCTCTCCAACACTTGTTGTTTGTTGCTTTGTTTATGATGGCCATTCTGATTGGTGTAAAGTGGTATCTCGTTGTGGTTTTAATTTGCATCTCCCTAATAGCTAGCTATACTGAGCATCTTTTCATGTGTTTCTGGATCTTCTGTATATCCTCTTTGAAGAAGTGTCTGTTCAAGTCCTTTGCCCATTTTTTAATTGGGGTTGCTTGTCTTCTTAGAGTAGAGTTGTGTAATTTCTTTATATATTTTGGAGATTAAACCCTTGTCTGAGGTATCATTGGCAAATATGTTTTCCCATACAGTTGGTTCTCTTTTTATTTTAATTCTGTCTTCTTTAGCTGTGCAGAAGCTTTTTATTTTGATGAGGTCCCATTTGTTTATTCTTTCCTTTATGTCCCTTAAATGTTTCTAATTTTATAGTATCATTTTTTGTTTATATTTTAAGAATTTTAGGGACACTGTCTCTGTTCCTTTCTTTTCCTTTGAAGACTGACTTTTTTATTTCTTTTTAAGGGAACTCTATAAATTACATAAGTTAGATATATAGTGATTTAAATGCTTCTTTTTTCAGCTTTATTGAGATATCATTGACATGTAACATCGTGTAAGTTTGAGGTATCCAACATATTGACTTGGTATACTAATATATTGCAAAATGATTACCACCATAGCATCAGCTAACACTGACATCATATTACCTAATTACCAGTTCTTTGTTGTGGGGAAAACATTTAAAATCTACTCTTTTAGCAACTTTTAAGTGTATAATATACTGTTAATATAGTGCTAACTATAGTCACCATGCTGCAGAGGAGATCCTCAGAACTTCTTCATTTTATAACTTGAAGTTTGTAGTCTTTTTTTAAAAAATACATTTTATTGATTATGCTATTACAGTTGTCCCATTATTTTCTCTCCGCTCGATTCCCCTCCCTGCTGCACCTCCTCCCATCAGCATTCCCCCCGCACCTTAGTTCATGTCCTACATATGAGTTCTTTGGCTTCTGCCTTTGCCATACTATTCTTAACCGCCCCCTGTCTATTTCATACCTGCCATTTATGCTTCTCGTTCCCTGTACCCTTTTCCCCCATTCTCCCCATTCCCCTCCCCAATGATAACCCTTCATGTGATCTCCATTTCTGTGATTCTGTTCCTATTCTAGCTGTTTGCTTAGTTTGTTTGTTTGGTTTTTTGTTAGGCTCAGTTGTTGATAGTTGTGAATGTGTTGTCATTTTACTATTCATATTTTTTATCATGTTTTCCTTAGAAAAGTCCTTTTATCATTTCATAATAAGGGCTTGGTGATGATGAACTCCTTTAACTTTACCTTAGCTGGGAAGCACTTTATCTGCCCTTCCATTCTATTTATTAAAGTATTTTTTGATAGTTGTTCAAGTATAGTTGTTTCCATTTTCCCCCTACCCCAGCCATCCCCACCTCCCACCCTTGATCCTACCTCCCTTTGGCTTTGTCCTCAGTTCCTTTATACATGTCCTTTGAAAACCCTTTCCCCTCCCCCCCCCATTATAGCTTTGCTGGATAGAGTAATCTTGGATGTAGGTCCTTGCCTTTCATGACTTGGAATACTTCTTTCCAGCCCCTTCTTGCCTTCAAGATTTCTTTAAAGACGTCAACTTTGACCAACATTTCCCCATTTCCCCAAAACCCTGGAACCTGATAGCCACCATTCTACTCTCTGTTTCCAGTTTAGCCTTTTTTAGATTCCACATATCAAAACATTCAGTACTTGTCATTCTCTGACTCATTTCACTTAGCATAATGCCCTCAAGTTCCATCTCTGCTCCTTTCTTGACTTGAATTATTCTCTATTATTATAGGAGGACACAGATCACAATTACTATATATCCCGGATATATGGCCCATCTGATTCTGCCAGCCGCGATTTGTGGGTGAACATAGACCAAATGGAAAAGGACAAAGTGAAGATTCACGGAATCCTCTCCAATACTCATCGGCAAGCTGCAGTAAGTGCTTTAACATTTTGAATTTATTTTTATCTGCTGTGAAAAAAATTTTGCTTTACTTGGCATATCAACACTTTGTGCTTATGATCACTTTTCAAGTATATTTATTTCTGCAATTGCAAATTAGATTAATAATTTCATATATTATAGAAAATGAAAAAAACTATTTTAAGAAGCCACTATTAATTCAACTATTAATTAATTAAATTAACAATTAATTTCCATAGTGAGAGGATGAATTGTATTTTCACAGTTAAGATAGATTTTGAATGATTTTCAGTTTTTTGTAATCCATGAGCTTACAGAACATTTTTAAAAAAATTACATTAATCTAGTATCTTCCATTTTACATGGGTTTCTTACTCTGAGTCTGAGAAAGATTTAACCAGAAACATTTATGATTCAGATAACACATGTAGACCAAGTTATGGATCCAAGTGAAGAAGTTTGATGTGAAGGGAAAAAAAGAAAAACCTAGAAGTCTGCAAACATATTTTAAGTCTGAGTTCATTGGTTACCAGCCATGATTTCTTAAACAAATAATGTAACTATTCGGAGGCAGTTTCCAGATCTGTATGGTGGATATGACAGGGCAATTAGTGCAGGCCTCACCTTTCATGACCATTGATTTCCTGTTTCCCCTGTTAGGATGAATGTTTGCACAGGTTAGCTTTTCGGTCTTCACAACAACCCTATGATTGCAATATTTTGCCACCCAGGTATTGAGTATAAGAGAAATGAATCCTGGAAAGATAAGCATCCTACCTAAGTGATCCTAGCTAGTGAGTGATGAAACTAGGAGACTGACCTAGGCAGTCAAGCCTACACTCAAAGTGTGTGTGTGTAAAATTTACCACACTAGATTCTGAGCAGTTTTTTAAAAATTTTAATTAATTTATTTATTTTTAGAGAGAGGGGAAGGGAGGGAGAAAGGAGAGAAATATTGATCAGTTGCCTTGTTCACGCCCCCAGACAGGAACCTGGCCTACAACATACGCATATGCCCTGACTGAACCGGTGACCTTTTGGTTTGCAGAATGATGCCCCACGTGCTGAGCCACACCAGTTAGGGTTCTTCTCAACAGTTTTTTATAATCACTTCTGGATACATGCCTAATTTAACATTTTAGAAATTATTTAGTTTTTCTATCATGGACAATAGCAGTAATCTTACCGTCGATGAAATGTTGTTCAGTTTAGTGTGCCTTAAAGTAAAAACAGAACTTTAACCTTTCAAGTGTTATAACATTGTTGATATGAAGACTTGATGGCTTAAGTGATTCAGAGACACAGATCTCATAAGTATAAAATATCAAAATTTTTGGCCACAACCATGATATATATGTCGATTTTCCAATTTCATAAGGTCAACTTCTAAGTTAAAATGCAATTATAATCCACCATGATGATTTATTCAATTTTCAGTGTAGAGCACATGTTTTCTGAAGCAGAGAAGGAAAGAAAGTAGCCACCCCTCCTTGCTGAATTTCATCATCCTTCCTTTCCATTCCCAAACAACCCCAGGCGAGATGATAGATTCAGAAATGATTCACTGCTAGGTTTAGAACAGATCTTCAAAAGAAGTGAAAATGAGAAAGATTATATTAGGACAACATCTATCCCAAAGTTATTGCATTTGAAAATCCTCCAACTATATTACAGTGCTAGTATAAAATATACTTTGTAACAGTTTGAATGTTGGTGTATCTAATCAGAGAATCCGAAAAGTGGCCAAGTTCTGGTGTTGGCCACTATGGACAATGTCTCTAGGCAGAGAAAGGTCATTAGTTAAAATGTTAGCTGATTTCTTCTTACACACTTGCATCACCATTATCTCTTTCTCCTGTGTTCTCCGAAAGGTGAGATAGTTGGCATGTCCCTTGAAGATTTTTTTCTCTTTGGATTAGGGTTTGCTTGGTTGCCTTGTGACCTCAGGTCTCTGGTAGTTTTGAGAAAAATCAGGATACTGTAATTCATTTTTTCTTACTGTTAGTGTGACAGTGACTGTCACTTTCAACACCAGAGAGTGGCCTTAATACAATAGAAAACTGAAGCTGGTGCTTGGAACTCACCTGGTGCTCTGCACACTGCTCTTTTAAATGATTGGTAGAAGCTTTATGTTAGCTGCTCTGTTATCGTAGACTGGCTTCTTTTTTTTTTTCATGAGAATTTAAGCCATTTTCATACATTTCTTAGAGTTAAAAACTTGTCCATTTTCCCTATCACCACCAGCAGAACACACACACACTTCCATTTACAACAGTGAACTTAATAATATAGGGGAGTAAAAACAAATTCCCTGCTACGCTTCTAAGTTCTTCTGGCTGGACAATAGTGAAATTAACATGAGGCAGATTAATAGGAGAAAATTACCAGATCTATTATTGTGTACCTACAGGGGTTTCAAAATGAGAGCCCAGGACAGATCAGACAGTTCTAAGGCTTATAGTCCCTCTTGAGCTAAGGAGAAAGGGCGATGGAAGTTTGTAGTTTGGATTTCAAAGTGGGAGAAGGCAATTCACAGGGAGATGGAAAGCAAACGTTTGTTACGTAAATGCTTGCTGGGCCACAGTTAACAAGGGGACATAGTGAGGACTTTGATCAAAAGATTCTTGCTAGGTTCCTCCCTGTCACACTTAGTTCATATTATCTAAAATGATAGCCCTCTTCCCAGAGCAGGTTTTCTATCTAAATTCCCTTAGGCAGGTAAGGGGGTCAAAAATTGTTCCCTGAGTCTTTTCTTTCTTGAAAATTACCAGATTGTAAAGCAATCAGTATTCCAAAAGGCATATTTTGTGGTGCCATACTCTCTGCTGCCCTTCAATAGTATTAGTTTCCTTTTTTGTTTATTTTGTTTTTTAAATTCCACATAAATGTAAAGTCCTAAGGTATCTTTATCTGAATTATTTCATTTAGCATAATACCCCCTAGGTTCATCCATGTTGTTGCAAACATAAGAGTTCATTCTTTTTTATGTCCAAGTAGTATTCCATTGTGTATAGTACCACAGCTTTTTTATCGATTTGTCTATCAATGCACACTTAGGTTGCTTCCCTATCTTGGCTATTTAAATAATGCTGCAGTGAACATAGGAATGCATGTGTCTTCTTAAATTAGTGTTTTGGATTCCTTCAGGTAGATATCCAGAGGTGAGATTTCTGGGTCATATAGTTCTGGAACCAGAAAAGTCAGTATTCTTGCTGCCTATCACTTCCAGAACCAATAAGTAGAGACAAGGATTGAATCTTTACCGACGCTTTTATTCAGATGCCGGCAATCTGAGAAAATGGTGGATTATGTACCATAAAAACCATCTTAATCTCTCATCTCAAACCAACCTTTTCATAAGAAGAAGAGGGTAGGTAAGGGGTTTGGAAAAAAGGTTAATCAGATAAGGGTTGCAGTCCTTGCTAACTTTCCTAGAATTTCTTTAGCTGCTGATCCACAGTTCTTTATCTGCATCTCAGGCATTCCTTCCGTGGAACACAATGGCTCAGATACCATCTCCATTGCTTGGGACACAAAGGTTGAACTGCTCGTCTCCGCCTCCTGGAGTCACGTAGGTTATGCATTCCAGTTCCTGGAATAAGAGGTTTCCACGAGCATTAATCATTAAGCCTAGCAGTTATAACTAAGGCTAAGATCTTGAATTCTTGAGTTCCCTTATCAGTTCTATTTTTAATTTGTTGAGGAACCTTCATACTGTTTTCCATAGTAGCTACATCAGTTTATAATCTCACCAACAGTGTACAAGGGTTTTCTTTTCTCCAATGGAAAAATTTGCCACTTGGATTCTGTTTAAATAAGTTTTATATCTTGAAACTTATAAATTGAGTTAATGGAACATTACAATTTTTTTCTACAAATATTCTTTGTTTCAAAAATGTGATTCTTAAAAATTACTATGAGATTTCCAAATTGGAGAGAGTGATGCATGGTTTAACATTTCTGTAGTTGGCTTCCTTCCCTTTCCAATACTGCCTGGATCTCTTCTGCTCATATTCTATTGTGCCTTCCTCAGAATAGAATTAGGGTTGTTAGAGAGGACAGAATTGTAATGTTAAGGTACCACGTGGCTGAATAATGTCCACACAGTCCCTCCTTCCAACCTCCACAGAACACACACAACACAGACCCCAAACTGTTACCAAACAGCAAGTGGGTCCTGCCACCTGCACCACCCTCTAGGGTAAATTCCAGAGACAAAGGTTTGGTGATAAAGGAAAGGAATCTTTATTCAAAAGCTACACAATTTTGGAATAACAGCTTTCGGTATGCCTTAGTCATTTAAGCTTATCAATTAAGGCTCAAATCTTGAACTCTTTAGTTCCAGCTTTAATCACTCAAATCTGTCAATTAAGGCTAAACTCTTTAACATCTGAATTCTCCTGTCATTCCCTGGTTCATTTTTAATTATGTTATTTCTACATGGTTAGTTTACAAACTAAAACAATATAAGATGCAAAAGTGACACAATTTTGGAAGAATGGCAGTCTTCTGCCTCAGACCTTGTGCCCTCTAGAACCCCCCAGCCAAAAAAATAACCCTGCCACCCTCCACCAGGCCATCCTGATTCTAGGCTGCACCTGGAGTTCCTTCCTATCTAAAACCCATCCAAAATATCATTCTCTGGGAAATGCAGGCAGCTGCAGCACAATCATCCAGGCATCCTCAAGGAAGATGAACCCGAGTGCCAGTTTCTGCCATCTCTTTATTTTAAATCTTCTGGCACATAATTCCATGTGCTCTAAAGGCATTCAGCTTCTCTGCCAATCCTGTCCTAGACTGTATACCATTGCCTCCGGCAACCTCCACCTACCACCCCTTCCTACTCCTCCCAGTGATCTGATCAGATCTCTCTGTGTCAAAACCACAGGTACTGTCTCTGTTTTACTACTGAGAGGTTTTAGCACAAGGAAAAATGGCAAATGGGGAAGAAGGCATCTATTTTATAAGTGTGATTTGCTGATATCATAATTATCATAACCCTTGATTCAGAG